AAAACAAAAGTAGATAGTTCTCCTATTTCTTCTGATTCTTTTGATTCTTCTCTTTGTACTTTATCCAAGTCTAAATCTGTACAATCTAACCTGCCACTTCTGTGTTCTAAGATTTTAGAATGTTCAGAACATTACCTAGCCCTGTTTACTACTCAGTAGTTTGTCTGTAGTATCAAGTAGGGATAGTCTCAGCTAAGTTCACAGCTAAGGACATGAGTCTGTCCTTGTCAAAAGAGAGAGGTTAATGAGGAAATGTTAGTGTATATACTTACCCTCTCAGATGACAAGACTGTACAAGCTGTATGTTCCTTTTAGAACAAGTAGCAGTTCATCTAAGGACATTCTAGGTACTAGCTCTAAGTCCCTGTCCTCTTAGCTCCCTTCTCAGGATCCTGCCAGATCTGAACAACAGCTCTGGTAGACAGTAGATTATCTAGGCTTTGTAATCAGTAGAGGCAAGGTCTGTATGGATCTGGCAAAGGTGACTACAGTTTGAAACTGGTCATAACCTTAGAACCTGAAACAGGTCTAAGTGTTCCTTAGGTTTGTAAACTACTACTAATGCTTCATTTGAGGCTTCAGTACTATTGTCTGGCCCCTTCACAATCTTACTAGTAAGGATGTTCCTTAGTAATAGAATGATCAGTAGTAGTCTGTGTTTGAGTCCCTCAAGCAGGCTATTACTAGTAAGCCTGTATTAGCAGTTCTGACAGTTGTAGACAAGTTCTGAGTCAAAGCCAATTCTTCTGACTTTGCAAATGGAGCAGTACTGTCCTAGTTCATTGATGGAAAGTAGTGTCTGATAGTGTTCTGATCAGAATCTCTCTCTACAACAGAACAGAACTACCCTATTTATGACAAGGAACTCCTTGTAATTGTCTGTTCCCTAGAAGAGTAGTGTTAATATCTCCTTAGTACTGTACAGAAGTTTAAGATTTGGAGTGATTACCTTAATCTCTAGTACTTCTAGGCTCCCTAGAAGCTCAACTACTGCTAAGCCTGCTGGATGTTAGAACTGTAGGACTTTGACTTTGTACTGACTCACAAACTCAGAACACAAATGACAAAAGCTGATTTACTCTCAAGACAAGTAAGTCATGAAAGGGGAGAGAATGATAACAAAAATCTCATTCTCCTAGACAATTCCTGTTTTGTGTCTAAGACAATCTGAGAGATCTGACTCAAATCCAAGGATGTTGACTTTGTCACTTACATACAGTAAGCTCTGAGACACATACAGGACCAGGTTGTAGTAAAGTAACTAGAGAAGTAGGCTAGGGATTAGGAGGAGGATGAGGATGGACAGGTTTACTAGGAAGGCTGACTGTATGTTCTAAAGGATTGGAAACTGTAGGAGGACATTGTCTAAGCTCATTACAACAATCTGACTGTAGGACATCCAGGCTAACACAAAATGTAGGAACTTATTACTCAGAACTACTAGTGGCCCAGAATGTAGAGGGAAATCCTGAAGTATGTGACTGGTTACAATATGTACTAACAGACTAAGGCCTACCAGACAAGGGTTTAGGCTCCCTTACATCTGTATTGGATTCTAGATCACTCTTAGGAAGAAGTCTCAGTAGACCTGATCAGTGAGCTACCCAAGTCTTAGGGTTACAACACTATCTGTATAATTGTTGACTGATTCTCTAAGCAAGTCCACACAGTTCTGACCCAAACAGAACTCACTTCTGAAGGCATAGTGTGCATTTATCAGGATCATGTCTTTCAGTTGTACAGACTCCCTCAGAAGCTCATTCATGATTGTAGACTGTAATTTGAGTCAAAATTCATACAGGACTTGTATGTGCTTCTCAGAATTCAAGGGAACCCTTCTACTACCTATCACTTACAGACTGACAGTCAAACTGAGCAAGTCAATCAGGAGATTGAGCTCTACCTCTGAATGTTCATCAATCATCAGTAATCAGATTGGTCTGAATAGTTAGCTCTGACAGAATTCATACACAATAACTAGTAACACTCTACAATAGGACAGTCCCTGTTCTTCCTTAATTATGAGAGACATCTGTACTAGGGGACAGTTCTGAACCAGAATGACAGTTCCAAATCTGTAACAGACTTTGTAGAATGGATGTACAGAACTAGGGAGGATGTACAAGCTCTTTTAGAAAAGGTAGTACAGGTTATAAAGTAGAACTATGATCAGAAGAGGTCTGTAGCCAAGGATTACCAGCCTGGTGACAAAGTTATGCTGGAAGCCACTAACCTGACCATGAATTACTCAATGAAGAAGTTAGACAACAAGTGCTTCAGACCCTTTGTTATTGAAAAGAAGGTCAGTGCCTCTGCCTACAAACTCCAACTTCTGGCAACATGGAAGCACATACACCTAGTGTTTAACAAGGTTCTACTGTCTCAATACTATGATCCAGGTTTTCCTTCACAATAAAGACCCCTACTACCTCTACTAGAACTCATTAGTTCTGAACCAGAATACAAAGTAGAGTACATAGTAGATGCTAAGCTAGTGTACAGAAAACTCAAGTTCCTTATCTACTGGAAGGGATACCCAGTTGAAGAACACACTTGGGAACCTGCTGAGAATCTCACCCATACTGTTAAGGCAATCCAAGACTTCTATCAACTTTATCCAGGTGCTCTGTATCAACTCTGCCTTACAGATTTCCAAACCCTACTGTTCTGACCTATGCCTGAGCTGCTGACCAAGCCTAATGTTCACCAATCAGGATGATTGGTTTTAGAGGGGGGGTGATGTTACAATTCTCCACTCTCTTACCTTCAGTTCTAAGGGTTCTACACCCTTCTGTATTAGAACTTGGGACTTCTGTCTCTCAGAGGCACTGTCTATAGACTATATGTGTGCTGACTCTTACTACTACCCTTCCTTACTTCATCATTCCATTCCTTTGACTACTCCTTCATTCTCTGTTCATTCTATAGTCTCTTACCCTTTGTCTATCCCTTCATTCTTTGTACCTTTATCTTTGACATTCCTTTCTTTCATTCTTCATGGCTTATCATTCTTAGTGGCTCATACTCCCTGAGTGCTCTTGTGTAGTTTAGTATATATAGGCATACAAGATCAGACTGGTCCTGTAGTCTTGATCTTGTCTACTCTAGGTAGTCCTGTACTCTTAGGCTCACTCTATATACTCTACTCTTGTCCCACTCTCTCTCTCTGCCTGTTCTACAAGTTCTGACTATGTTCCAGTGCTTGCATTCTGTATTTCTGTTGTGTAGGATAGTTGTAGCCTGAGTCCCCTCACTGAGCCTTCAGGTCCCCTCTATACTGTTGCTGACAGAAGAAGCAGTGTCTGGATGTGGTGAATACAACCTAGACCTGTAAAGACACAATGAATAATGTAGGAATTTTGCCTGAAGGTGCAGATATGACTATAGAACAATTGCCTGTATAAATGAGAGCAAGAGGAGTGAGCCAAGAGTGAACATAGGAGCACAAGTTGAGAAGATAGGGGTGGTTGAATGTGTGCCAGCATGATGGAGTGTCACAGGGGTGTTCAAAGGAACAACTTTTGTGACAAAATCTCACTTTTTTCTTATCTTCATATTTATTTTTTTACAGCACTTAATAGCTTGGAAAAATTCAGGCATATAGTATTATACATATAATCATTAGATACATAAATTTTTAAGTAAATTTTTGATGTGGAAAGAAATGTGGGGGAAAACAAAATTGGTGTTTAAAGGAACGTCCAATGCCTGTATTGCTATGAAAATATACAAAGGTCAATCAACAATTAACAAAATATATACAATATAATATACTACTGAAAACAATGTTGTACTAGTGTACAAAATTGCTCAGTCTTACAATATTTAACACAGGTATAAGGTCATTGACTTTAAGGAACTGTTAGTATCCATCTCGATTCTCAAACAGAACAATAAGTGCGATTCAAATTTCATACTATTTCTTAAATACTATTTTATATACAAGCATCTTTATATTGTTCATTTCTCTGCTTCTACCGCCTGGTGGATAATGGAAGCAATCTTTTCTGACCGGGGTGTTAAAGAGTACTTGAAGGGTCTTGGGTGTCTATATGAATAATGAAACAAGAACATATGAATATATATGCTATATATAAGCACTTTTGGCACAACAGTAAATGGGGTGCGGACCTGACAAAGTGCGTGTAGTATTCCTGACCCGGGGTAATAGGAACACCATGTTCGTCGAGTGCTTTGGAGAAGTTGAATGCTGCGAGGAGGGACGCTGTCCCCATGAAAATCTATGAGCAGCATCAGCTTAAAAGGACTTTAGAACTTGTGCTGCACTCACAGCATTATCTGCAAAGTGCCTTCCTGTGCAAACTCTAACAGGCCACAATAAGAAATGGTAGAACTGATTTAACATCGAAAATATAATCACCGACGACCGATTCCAAAAACAATTTTGTACACATCCAGAGGTGACTCCTTTCCATCTTGTGGTAGCCAGCGCTCGGGAATGAATTGATCCGGGTTAGGATACGTTGTAGGATCCTTCATCATTGCCCTATGGTAAATAAACGCTGAATGTTCAGCAGATACCGAAAATGATGAATTTTTACCAAAGATTCGGGAGAACGATTGCTCCGGCGGGGATGAAGCTTCCATTGTACACATCGTCCTCTGTCGCTGTATGCGCAGCCGCTGAAGTTAAGTGAGTATATCAAATAACAGCTTAGATTAAGCAACGCATTCACCGAGTGGTGCAACGATCTGCCAGCTAAAACGTTCATTAATGTTGCGATCACTTGCGCTTTATTTGTCTACATACCGATATGTCTCCTTGATGACAGCATTGAGATACGGCAAGTTCTGCCGATCGTCAAACGATGGAAGGGCATCCTTTCCTACCACTTTATCGAGCTCCTCTTGAGCGCGTCGTTGAACTTCCGGATACAGGACCATGGCGAGCAAGAACGAATGAAGGGAAGAGACAGTCTAGAAGTGGATTTGTTAGAAGACGAAACAGTGTCTGGATTCTGTAACATACTGTGTCAACTCCCGCTGTGCAGTTGATGACTTTAGTTCTCGTTTACACAGAGAACAATAAACATGCAAAGGCTTACCCCCGTACGCTGTGCTTGTAACTTTCGCAACTAACATCTCGTCATTGATGACTGTGTCATCTGCTAGGCTTGCTTCAATTAGCTTGCTAGACATCGAGGGAACAACGGATCCTTCTGTCTAATAGGGACTGTGGATCAGCGAAGGTATTGTTAATCGACTCTAGTCGATGACTTGCAAATTTCTCCTTCGCCAGCTTGTATTGGCCATAATACATATCGAGCGAATTCTTAAGACCTTCCTTTGCGATTCTCTTGAACTGAGTGCCAGGGAACCAACTAGGCAGGTACTTCAACCATGGTAAGGCATTCACAAGGAAAAATCCTTCTGCCTCAGCGAAGGCATCTAAGCCCCTGATCCCGAGGGCAACGTACGGGTCGTCCTTCTCCATGACTATATGAAGAGTAAGAAGTACGAAAATGAAGCCAACTGTCAACACGATTACCTTGATATCCGTAAGTCATCTTTAAAATGGTCTCACCGGCCGCACTATAACAAGGAAAACGTCAGAAGGCACGTTTGGCTCAAAGTATCAAAGGGTAGCTCACTGATTAGCTATTTCAGGGAACATTTCGGGAGTGTTGAGCAGGTTTTGAAGCATCTTGCGTGTTACTTGAGTTTGCATCTCCAAGTAATCAACAACAGCAGCAGGTTGGAAAAAGCGATGCATTAATTGTCTTGCCCTCCGCAGTTCATCTCCGTATGGCATCACTGGCATAAACCAATCCCAACTTTCTCTGAAAATAGAAAGTTATTTATTAACATATAACTGCAGTGAGGTTGACTGGAATGGAGATGAATATAGAGGATAATAGAACGTACAGTTCCCACAAGGGGATTTTCGGCCGAGAAGAATAAATTGACCAGCGCTTCTCAAACAGGTCGACGGCCGCCTGGTATGAGTTGACAAAAATGTATGACGTTCCAAGATTCTTGACATGGATAACAGGACCTTATAGCCATGGAATGATGTATTGCACCATGCTGATTAGCGCAAGGACTCACCATATTTCTCTCCCCACTTCCGTGCTGCCTCCCATTCTTCTGCTTCTGGCATATCAAGGATGTTCCCAATGAGGGGTAGCCCCTTAGGCCCTGGAGGGAGAGGAGGCCTGTCGCGGTTCTTCCGCCACGAGCGAAACTGCCATAGACAGGCCAGAATGCAAGCAACAGCAACAGCGTCAAGTGCGCGATAGGGCATATCGAGACAGTAGCGGATGCTATCTTAGCAGAAGTAGACCGCTACCTTTATAATATCAGTCAAATGGAATATGATTTACAACGGACCGTGGAATGAGAAAAGAATTACTTTTCTATTAGACAAACTATCTCCAACCAGCAATGCTATCTCCGAAAGCAAAGTAACCCTAGCTCATGCACCTTTAGTGACATGGCAATCTGGCATGACGCGAGGAGTACTCAGTAAAGAATTCAATATAGCGTGAAAGCCTGCGTTACCAATAGGGGAATGAGAATGGCCGAGGTACCGAACTGAAAAGATCACAGACTGCACACACATAGTAATTGATGAATGTAGTAGAGAATCGTGGTTCACAGATGCGTTGCAGGGAAGTTTCATTGGAGTCTGTGACGTACGGGAAAGTGGGAAAGGAAAAGGAAAAACAAATGAGATTTATTTGTAAAGAATGTGTAGAATGGTCCAATAGGTCGGAATGATATCGCATGATTCGCATCTGCCTTGATCGAAGGAGGAAACCTTGGAGCAGAATTCAGACTTGCAAGAAGGTTTATCGCCAAGACTACTCACGGATTGGTCCGGGGGTATTTCGATCAGGAACTTGTTAGAATATTGGTTCCATTGGAGAACATACGTAACCTGGGATTCTTTGTCTGCTTTCCCCCCGAGTGATTTCCGTCATGATGATCCTTGCACCCAGTTCAGTTCCGCCGAAAAAAGTCTCTCCATCAGTATCAACAATGAAGCTCCTTGGTTTTGTAAGAGTGGTAATCTGTCAAAGGGAACGCATTCTCTGCTTATTAGCCCGAACTCGTAGGGCGAAACTATGAGCAATGGTGCAAGAAAATATGTCCGGTATAGCTGCATTTACATTGCATAAGATGCTTTTTAGCTGCGCAAAATTAACTGGAGCTGAGTACAACGAAGCATTAATTATCTATCTTCCCAGACCAAATTTAGAATACGTCGAGCAGTGTTGCAATATCCGAGAGTTTCCGTCAATAAGAAGGGTATATAGTGAGGATACCACTAAAGAAGATCGAACTTGTTAGAAATTCCAGTGCCGATCGCATAGTGTTATGAACATGAGAACAGAGAAATGCACCGGCACAATGGAGTAGAGTAGTCTGCCAATATGACAAGAGACGCTGACTGATAAGGAATCCCAAACATGAGCAGCGGCTAAGACAGTCCACGGGGTATTCGCACAGGACGTAAATGCAAGGAGGCCTTGTCGTCATGATGGTCAAGCTTCCGCAACGAGGCAAGATCTTTTATGCGCATTCCGCGAAGGCAGAAGTTTCGAAGCATCCCGCCTTCAAAGTAACTCAAAGAGGAAAAAAACCAAGACCAACCAACAATGAAAGCGCATCACAAGACACCCAGTCACGTGAATGCATAGGCGGAGATTCGATTCTGCGCCATACCAGTGGCGGTACCAACAAGACGTTACTTGCCACAGTTTGAAATTGATAGCGATCATATTTTGCTCCGCTTTTCCCATAAATCCCCTCTTACTTTGACCACTACAAACCGCCATAACATGGTGCAAACCCTTCCCCTAATAGCGTACATTAGCACAGTACATTATTCCTGTCTTCTTTTCTCCTCTCCTCTTTTCCTCTACCATTTTGTAGTTTAAATGTAGTAGACACTAGAATAGGGACACATCCTGTGCATGCCACCTTAAGTGTACCCAAGTCATTTCTTCTTCGTCATGAATGACTTCCAGGACGTGGCCTATAGATTGAAAGGTTGTACAATCATGAAGAAACTTGGTGTGCTCCATTTTCGAGGGACCAGATACTTTAAGACCCTTTAAGCTATAATATCTTGGCGGTTCCCTTGAAGGCATCAGCAATTATTCTCACATACCTGGAAGCAAGCCTGGCCAGACCTGCAATTTTGCAGCGAATCAGCTTGCCGACTTATTGGAATTCATAGGCATCAATTTGGGAGTAACGTTAGCGAACAATGCAAGGATACATAACAACATTATAATAGATTATTTTCTATCTGGTCTGTTATACAAAGACTTTTTTTAGAGAAAATATTTGACTTATACTGTCGGGCGGGACGATAGATGCCGTATACAATAAATACTAGTATTTAATATATAGTACGGATGGCTTACTGTGGAACAAGAACGGATATTGCCTAAACTGCTATCTGTCTATATACGAAGTCAATCAATATTAACAAAATACGCACAATACAGTATAATACTGCCAAAAATTGCGCTATCGATACACAGTATGTTCAGTGTTATGATATTTATTATAAACACAAAGAACATTGACTTCAAGGAGCCGATATCTGCCCTGAACAGAACAAAAAGTACAAATTATCTTATCTCAACTCTCTTCCATACAAGCTTCTTCATCGTTCACTTCATTGCTTCTACAGACTGGTGGATAATGGAGGCGATCTTCTCTGATCGAGGCGTTAAAGAGTACTTGAACGGTTTGGGGTGCCTATAAGAAAGAAGGGCGTAGTAATATAATGGACTGAACGCAAGCCCGGTTTAGGAGAAGCGTAAATGGAATGCTGACCTTATCATGTGCGTGTAGTATTTCTGATCCGGGGTTATAGGGACACCATGTTCGTCGAGTGCTTTGGCGATGTTAAACGCTGCAAGGAGGGACGCCGCGCCTATGAAGACCTACAACAACAGTATTAGCTGTACATTCTTTAAACCATGTGTATCACCCACGGCATTGTCTGCGAAGTGCCGTCCTGGGCAAATTCTGCCAGAATAAGTTGAGGAGGGACAACACTGTTTTGACACTGAAATTATATTCACCGGCGGCCAATTCCGAAAACGATCTTGTGCACGTCCGAAGGCGGCTCCTTTCCGTTTCCTGGTAACCAGCGTTCAGGAATGAACTCATCGGGGTTAGGGTATGTCGTAGGGTCCCTCGTTATTGCCCTGTATTTGTAGAAAATTTGAATTATGACAAAGTGCTCAGCAAGAGCATAAGGAAGCATGCAACTAACCAAAGGTTCTGGAAAACAATCGTGCCAGCGGGAATGAAGTAACCATTGTAGACGTCGTCCTCTGCCGCGGTATGCGCAGTAGCTAAATAGGAATAAGAGAGACTGTAGAAAAGAAGGGAATGAAAACAATGAGCTCACCAAGTGGTGCGATGATCTGCCAACTAGAGCATTTGTCGGTACTGCGTCGATAAGGACCTTATATATCTACATACCGATAAGTCTCCTTGATGATAGAGTTGAGGTACGGCAAGTTCTGCCGATCATCAAACGACGGCAGCGTGTCCTTTCCCACCACTTTATCAAGCTCCTCTTGCGCACGTTGCTGAACCTCTGGGTACAGGACCATGGCTAGGAAGAACGAGTGTAGTACTGAGACAGTCTGAAATGAGAGTATTAGAAGATGAAACAATGTATGGGTCTCCATGTCGTACTGTATCAGCTCCCGCTAAGCAGTGGACTACTTTAGTGATCTTTGACAAAGTGAATTTTTAAGTCAGGACTTACCACCGTATGCTGTACTCGTCACTTTTGCAATTAACATCTCGTCGTTGAGGACCGCGTCATGTGCCATACTTGCCTCTATTAGCTTGCTTGACATCGAAGGAATGACCGATCCTTCGGCCTAATAGGGGCCGTGGATCAGCGAAAGACCTTGTTCATCCATTCCAGTAAGTCACCCACGTATTTCTGCTTCGCCAGCTTGTACTGGTCATAATACATATCGAGCGAGTTCTTGAGGCCTTCCTTCGCGATTTTCTTGAACTGAGCGCCAGGGAACCAATCGGGCAAGTATCTCAACCAGGGAAAGGCATTCACAAGAAAGAGGCCTTCTGCCTCGGCAAAGGCGTCTAGGCCCTTGATTCCGAGGGCAACATACGGATCATCCCTCTCTGCGACTGTGTAAAGGATAAGAAGCATTCACTGGAATGAAAGAATCAGCGGGACAACCTTGATATCCGTAAGTCATTTTTAGAATAGTCTCCCCTGCTGCGCTACAGCAGTACAATGCTTCAGAAGGCAGTTTTAGTGGAAAGAAGCGATAAATATATATGCATACTGTTTGACTAGTTCCGGAAAACTGTCAGGAGCGTTAAGGAGGCTTTGGAGCATCTTATGTGTTACATGGGTTTGCATCTCTGTGTATTCGACGACGACGGCAGGTTGGAAGAAGCGATGCATCAACTGCCTTGCTCTTCGTAGTTCATCTCCATAAGGCATCACTGGTACAAACCAGCCGAAACTTTCTCTGAAAATTGAAACTAATTTCTCAGTATGCAATTATAGTAGAAGTGGAAACGAGCGCACAGTTCCCACATAGTAAGTTTTGGACGACAAGAGTAATTCGACCAGCGCTTCTCAAACAGGTCGACAGCAGCCTGGTATGAGTTAAGAAAAACGTATGATATTCCAAGATGCTTGATATGAACCACGGGGCCTGCAATACATAATGACTCGTTGTACTAGAACGATCATCAGTAAGACTCACCATGTTCCTCCCCCCACTTCCGAGCCGCCTCCCATTCCTCAACTTCTGGCACATCGAGTGTGTTCCCGATGAGGGGTAGTCCCTTTGGTCCTGGAGGGAGAGGAGATCTGTTGCAGCTCTTTCTCCATGAGAAAAATTGCCATAGACAGATCGGAACGCAAGCAATAGCAATAGTGTCGAGTACGTGATAGGGCATATCGAGGCAGTAGCTATCATCGTCAGAGCAGAAAAAGACAGCTGCCTTTATAACATCAGCTGACCATGGTGCGCTTTAGAACGGCCGCAGTATGAGAGCAGAAGATGAAGTATCTCCAACTCCGGAAGCAAATCGACTCCGCCTCCAACACATTTAGAAAGATAGTTTCCAGCATAACAAGTTAACGTGGCGTGATAGTCTGTGTTACCAACAGCAGAAACCGGATATCAAGGTACCAGCCTGCCAGACCACAATACCGACAACTAATGCACTGCATTCGGTTAGAGTAGAAAGGAAATCGTGGTTTGCCGGCTCATCGCAGGGAAGCCCGAGAGCAAGAGTTAGAAGCTTAAGAAGTTGTCTAGTCGAAACTATTGATAGCAAAGTTTACGGGGAAAATATTTCAGACACCGCTGCAGTTATGCTGCATTGAAAATTTTTCAGTTGTATAAGACTACTGCAAACTGAACGAGACTAGCCGTTGCATATCCATCGAGGTCTGCTTTTTTTAGCAAGGTTGCAATATCTGAGGATTTCCAGCATCGTAGGCGGTGACTCCGCGAAGGAAGACTCGAGTTTTTCAGAAGTCTGAGTGCCGTATCGTGACGAAAAGAGAGGATTCATAGTCGCATGGTAGATTCTGGATCCCAGATATGATTGAGTGGCGTTCATCTCTGTCCTATCTAAACATGCACGCAACAGATCATTCACACATAGTCAAGCTTAACTGTGAAAGAAACGAGTTTCTTTCTCTTTCTGAAATGAAATACCTTGTTGCATCACGTGAGGATCCTCATCACGTGTCTGGCATTGTTCGTTAATTCGATTCCGCTGCAGGACATTCTGTCTGGCCATATCGTCTCGAGTGTGTCCACCTCTTTGTCTTTTCCTCACGATTGGCGCTCAGGACACAACACATCGATTAATAGGCTACGGTCTGATGCAGAGAGCTCTCTATTTTATGGATTTGGATACGTGATGACAGTATCCACCTGTGCACCTTGAAGACATCATCAGCTTCTTCAAATCTTTTTCACTTGGCAGCAAGCGTCGCCGTATCTGCGATTTTGCAATGTGACAGCTTGCCATCATCTCGGTATTCATAGCCATCAAAATGGAAGTGATGCTGGTGAAGAAGCAATCGATCCATTATCTCTGGGAGAATCGCCTAGCGTTTGAAGTCGGGAATTGGTCAGAAGAATTCGGAAGGAGCGGCCACTTAATGCTCGCCGACTTGGTTTCTAGTAATGTGCTGTGGGGCGCCGGGCTACTAAAGCGACTCAAAGGCTCTTTTCGTCGTCCCAGCTGGTGCTTAATGCGACATGCCTTTCGTTTCCGCGGAAGATCTTGGTTCAGTCAAACCTGACTACATCATCGTTGGAGGAGGAACCGTAGGTTTGGTCCTTGCGGCGCGGTACGCATACACAGATGGAAAAAGATTCGTCGACTGAGCATACATGTCATAGTTTGACGGAGGATCCGAGTGTCACTGTGCTTGTCATCGAAGCTGGTAGCTACCACGGATCTGTCCCTGAAATCGACGTTCCTGGTAAGCTAGATACCACCTTTACAGGAGGTTAATTTTAAGCGCATTGACTTCTCTATTAGGACTGCTGGGTAGAACAATCGCCAACCCCAAGTATGACTGGACGTTTTTCTCTGTGCCGCAAAAGCACCTTAACGATCGAGTAGTCCTGCAGCCTCGTGGGAAGGGTCTTGGTGGATCATCTCTGGTTTGACGCCTCACGATTGTTAGACGGGCAAAGTGCTTAATGTTTTGATAAGATCCACTTTAATACGGATACCCGACCTTCGAAGGCGGAACTTGACGCGTTGCAGGAATTGGGCAACGAAGGGTGGAATTGGGAATCTTTCCTTCACTACGTAAAGAAGGCAAGTACTAGCCTAACCGATCTGGCCAGATAGCTAACCCGGGTCTAGAGTGAGACGGTCTACCCTCCGTCGGGGATCACAGCCGAACAAGCTAAGGTTTACGCTGCAACTCTCGAACCTGAGTTTCACGGTACTAATGGTAGGCCTGCATATACTTTGTATTGGAAGGACGCTGAACCGGTTTTGCAGGTCCCATTTACAAATCAATGCGCACAGTATGGACCGACGCCCATGCGAAGGTGTTTGATGCAGCGGAAGCTCTTGGCATACCACGAAACCCAGAACCCGTAAGTCATTCACCAAGAAGCATTGCACGAAGTTTCGTGTTAACCTCTGTGCATCATGTTTCCGGTAGGGCAATGGCGTTAACACTGGCGCCATGACCGCATTCTCCTCTGTGGATCCTCGCACTGCCACCCGTTCCTCTGCGGCAACGGCATATTTAAAACCAAATCTGGGACGAAACAACTTTCTCGTCCTTGCCGATACGCAAGTTACGAAGGTTCGTGGCTAATATGCTAGTCTGCTTGATAGCACTTGAGCGACGTGTGATTAGGTATTGCTCAGTTGGGACGGCTCCCTTCAGAAGGCTATCGGTGTTGAAATCATTAAGAACGGAGTTACGTCCAGAATCGAAGGAGTGAAAAAGGACGTCATCATCTCGTGCGGTACGCTCTCAACTATGCTTTTCCAACTGTCAAGCCCCTTACTTTGTTGCAAGGCTCTTTACAAACACCGCAAATTCTGGAGCTTTCAGGAATTGGGAATCCCGAAATCCTTTCTCAGCACAACATCCCGTGTGCCATTGATCTGCCAGGTGTTGGCGAGAACTTGCGTAAGGCTCACATTAAGACTATACCAATACACCTCGCTAATTGCCTTACGTCGCCTGCCTTCGGATGACAGAGGATCATGTTTCTGTTTACACAATCGCTGAGATCGAACATACAGACGAAACGTTCGATATACTAGGTGAACCCACGCTTCTTAAGGAACAGGAAGAGCTCTAGTATGTGACGCAGTAAAGTTTTCCTGATTTGTCCTTGCTAACTCTCCCCTAGCAAGCAGCAACGAGGTCATTTGTCATATGGACCAGCACCGGCTTACATTTTTGTCCCTGCGAAGAAGCTTGGAGCAATAGATAAAATTATTTCTTGGGAGAACCATGCTCACGCCAAACTCACCGAGAGTCTCGCAAGAGTCGTTCCGTCTTTGAAGGCGGGTCTAGAGAAGCAATACAAGATCCAGGAGAAGTTTATAGTCGATGAAAACCAAGCACAGGCCGAGTATACCTTCATCCTCTTGTTTCATTTTGGCAACACTAATCCTTTTCGGAAGACTTTTGCAGTTCATTGGCCACCCCATGCTACCGTATGCCATAGCAACTCCAGGAAAACGATATACTGCCCTCGTTGGGGCATTGATGCACCCGTTGTCTCGCGGCGCCGTCCATATTACATCTTCGGATCCGCTAGCTGCACCGGCTATCGATCCGAATTACCTCGCAAATGAAGTCGACCTCGATATGATTGTTCATATCGTTCGGTTCTTAGAGCGCATGTACAAGACACCTCCGCTAGCCAACATTGTGAAAGAACAGGTCTTACCTGCTCCTAATGTTTTGAAGGATGAGAACAAATTACGGGAATTTATTAAAGATACTTGCGGTCCTGTATTCCATCCCGTCGGTACTGCTGCTATGCTACCCCGAGAAGACGGTGGCGTCGTGGACAAGGACTTGAAGGTTTACGGAACCAGCAACCTCCGCGTCGTGAGTCCTTGCAGCCATAGCAAACAATGACCATGGTTTCTGACACGACTACCTACACGATAGATTGATATGTCCATTATGCCTCTGGTAAAGTATTTTTTTTCTTATTTATTAAGGAGTTTGTTGACGTTCTGCACACTAGGAACTTTCGTGCCACACGCAAACGGTTGCGTATGCAATTGGAGAAAAGGTCAGGCTCATCATCCGTTCTACATTTACGCACGACACTGATGTGGGCCACTTGATGGCTAGGCTGCTGATATTTTAAAGGCTGACTTTTTTCGGAAGTAAGACAAGGGTCATATCCGAGAGGCAATGCAACCTTAAATCAATTATTCAATTTTTCGCGAAAGCTTTGAAGAGTAAATAGTGCTCTGTATAGTTTGTATTTCACGTGTACAGCATATGCATCTAACTTTTTTATAATCCCCGGAGGTTCTTCAGATTCTTGAATGAAGATTTCGATCGTTCTTCGCCGAGAGCCTTCGACTGTATAGGCAGTGCCTGTCGCGGTCGGTAATACTGCGTCCATTGTCTTCTCCACTCACCTCAAATAGTTTGGTGCAATGATTTGAGTTGATCCGACTTGGCTCGAGAAGGAAAGTACGCGCCCCAAAACCTTGTCCTAATGGAGTCGAGGTACACCCGGAAGGTTATCGACCTTTGCTTTTCGGAGGAAGCGAAAGTCCCGGGCGCCCCTGGCAAATGGAAGTTGTTCCAAGAAAGAACAAAGTAGTTTAGAAGTTGAAGAATCAGGGTGGGCTAATTCCGTGACCCATCTTTTGCGGAAAGACAATTACACGTATTTTTATCTCCCGGGCGCCGTTTGTTCTTGCGGATTGGCTCTGCCATCATCACCGGGCATTGGTTCAACTACCGGACAAGAGATGTACTTGAGTTCAGCTTCTAGGCAAAGTGTACCTTGAAGCCTCCATAAGCATATGAAAAAGTTTGGGACTGAGGCACAAAGAAAATCTTGTCTAATTCCAAAGACATTATAAGTCATTCTCTAAGTTATCGTCTTGCCGAGGTGTTGAGAATTTTTCGTTAGTGAGAAGGTACAGATATGAAAGCAGTTGATAGATTACCATGGCATTACGATGACAGCAGAACAGATACAGGCGTTACAACAGTAAATTATGAATCAAGGTCCCTAGAAACTATCTACAACGTGAAAAGTAAACTGGTCTGTCATACAGAATCAGTATCAATTGGCCGAGTTTTGCTAGTGACGGCCATTTCCATGCTCTCGCCTTCGACGTCCTAAATTGGGATCAGCAAGACTCCTGTGGAGACGAGCTCAGACTTACCCCCTTCCCCCCGGTCACATCGGACTGGTCAGCGACATAACGATCCGTTGTTGTCTCAATGTGTATAACTGCTGGAGAGGGGAAATTGTTGTTCCGTCGCGGCAACACAGAAGTATTGTTCTCCGAACTTCTCGAGCTGAAGACTGTCGGACCACGCGAACCCGACGATGCACGAGAATTGAGGGATGTCATAAACGTGTTTGAGTATACTGTATGCGCATGTCCGGCGCATGCATGTGATACTGTTAGCGAGTGGTCCAAGCGGTTCTAGCTTGACACACCTTTACATAAACAAAGCGACCTATCCGATAGGCTTTAGCAGTTAGACGGCATCAATGTGGATGTAAGACGTACAAGACAAGGTGAAGATTATTGTTCTGGTAAACTTGGTACAAAATAAGTTCGACAAGCGCGGTTAACGCAGTCGCCAATCCAGTCTCAATAGTCAGACGGATAAGTCGGTTGATTAGCTTGTTCGTATGTCCAAATCCTGAGTTCTTTGCGTTGTACAGCTAGGGTAGCGAAGAATGTCCTGGTAAGCAGCCAAAGAGTTTACACTGAACAGGTGATACTAACTAGATAGATCATGGAGAAGGCAATAATCTTGGGAAGATGTTAGTGCAGACCATCTAACTAATGGACTTTAATTACTTACCGCGTCTGCCGCGACGGAACCAGCCAGCCAAAGCTACGTAACAGTGTAAGCAGGTGGGTGATATGCGCGCTAGTGTAAGCTACAAACAATGGTGCGAGCATATATGGTTACTGTATGCAACTCGGAAAGATCTTTCAAGGATGAGAACTGAATAGATGGGCTGGTGAATCCTCGCCTATGTAGAGAGCCTCATTATCAGACGTACCACAGCAGTTATGGCGATAGCGCCACTTGCTTGAGCAAGTGCAATCTAGAAAGACGATTCAGTGTCCATAAGATTTATGAACGCATCAAGGTATACTTGCCACGATGATAACGCATGGAATGATTCTCTTTCTTCCACTCAGAATATGAATACGCCATGCATAGAATATCTGCACCCATGCAGAGACTTTCATACGATTAGCTGATAACTTCATGGTTGAATGCAGCTGGAAGCGTACCGATTGCAGAGAACGTCGGGATTGCCGTTAAAGACCATCCTGGAAATGGGAGTAAAGCTGGTCGACCCCATCCAAAGCATAGAACCCTCCATGCGTAAACAGCGACGAATATAGTTTGAAGAATGTCAACAAGGAAGATCGTGTATACTGCTCTCAAGCATCAAATTCGAATTCTTAAGCAATAAGATAAGAGAGAACCAACCAGAGGACTTCATTATTTTTCCATCGTTCGGAAACGACACGTGGTATATGTCTGCATTATTGCTGTTAGAAGTTCTCCGACAAGCCGCATTGAGAAACGAACATAGCTGCACAATAGAAATACCCATTAGTAGATAGCTGAGGAGGCTCCCCACCAGCTGTATTTGCACTTCTCAGATCTCAAACGATCCAAACATATGGAAACTGCGTACAATGGGCCCAATCCTATGGATGCAGAGTTAGAAAGGTATAAAATATAGATAAATCCAACTGGCATACAGAAGGAGCGTCTCATTAGAAACGGGGACGTCTTGCTGGGCGCTAGAAGACATTGGAAGTGCAACCCTTGCACAAGCCTCTCGGTAAGAGTGTAAGGTGCACCCGGCGCACGATGCTATGCGCCGGCTTAATAACCAAAGACAATCTCCTGCTGTGGCGGATGATATCTTAAATCACCGTATAAATTTGGATTAAACCGTGTCTTGAGTATCTCTCACCATCATTTATAAACGTTTCCATCATAAGATTCCCGCACCAGATGTTTCAAACTTTACCAGTGGCCAGCGCTCGATTCTCGAGTCCTCGACTCGAAGACCCGAGCCGTTCATGTCAACTAATTTTCCTTCTGTAAGCTGTTTCGCATTTGGCTTGCCTGGCGCATATTCATCACCAATGTCTATCCTGGGCAAGTTGAGCATACATATTTCGTTCGCCGTTTCGTCTCAGTCGGCCAGAGACGGAATTAGGGAATACAACGTGGTAACCTTGCGATTGTTGTAATGAAAGTCATATTTGGCAATTCCCACGTGTCCGAGTTACTCTATCACTGGTCCGCATTTCTTAGATTGATAGCGGATCTTTCCTTGTTCTAAGTTTTGTTTAGAGAAGCAGGTTCGTTATTGGATGGGAGTCAATCATTGGCGGAAAATCGAAAGCGTTGGTACAATGGTAGTGCACAGCAGTACTCGGAGTTCGCCGAACTTCCGCCGGAATCGTGTTCTGACATTTGATCACTGATGTGAAAAAAACTTCTTCATGTTGCTGTGGCTTGATGTTTACCCCAGTGACATCACCCTTATCCGCTATTGATGGAGCGCTCCATTTCATCGCAGCGCAGACGTCTATTGGTCGACCTCTGTTTCCGTCTCGGCGAATGCGGATTCACAGTGTAAACAAACTTTACCAAGTCCTCAATCAGTTCGCAGAACTCGAAAGTCATTCATAAGTATTGCATATGCGTGCATACGCTTGTATAACTCAAAGTTTCCTGCTCAAGCTAATCTAAAGCGACTGGAATACCTAGATGGCAAGCCAAGTTAAACTGTTGCTTTCACCCTGTTATTTAGAACAAAAAAACTTACTCGTGTCTCTATCTCCTGCCTACATCTACGAATAGAAATAACTGTACGTATGTCCCGCAAAAGCATTGTGTGCTCGTATGCCACAGTTTCCCGGCCTTATTTTTGGCTCTCGAATTTGCAAAACACCACAACTATTATTATTCAAAGCAAGGCGGGGAGGGGCGGTTTATCTACGTGGCCCACTGACTGTTAGGATCACATAAGAAAGAGAGAACAGTGTATTATGACATGAGTAATGGACATAAACGTTGGGTGAGATGTAGGGCCCTTTAAGGTAAGGATATTTCACATTGACTAGAGAGTACTACCGCTGAGAGAGATTCGGACATGCATTTGTGTTGTTCCGGAGATTCATCAACTGAGCGCTTGCGCTACAGCTTTTTAATATATTTGCGGTCCAAATTAGTTGTTTGATAAGCATATAATTTAAATATAATCAATAGGAGGCAGTATCTGTCCCGTTGATATTTTGAATGAATGGGCTGGGGATTACTGAGACCCCGTTGTTACCATTATTGCTTCATTAGGAAAGCTCATGTAGCTATAGTTGCCGCGGTCCGGTCCAGGTCCGGTCCAGACAGGTTTTTGCTGGACTGTGAACCGGACCAGGACTGATTTCTTATGAAATCCTGGACCTCGGACCGGACCCAGCTGGACCTCTTGTGGACCGGACCAGCAGTCCAGTCCAGGTCTGAACCCAGTCCGGACCTCTGGACCAATTATATAATATATATTAAAATAATTCTGTCTTATTAACATATTATATGAGATAGATATACTATTAAGTACTATAATAATATGTTTCTGAATATATGTAAGCTTATATGTATTAGAATACAATTACTTTTATTATTTGTATTATACTAAGTGTAAAACACAAGAAGTACTAGTGTAATGTTACAGTTCTCTACTCTCATACCTTCAGTTCCAAGGGTTCTGCACCCTTCTGTACTGGAACTCAGGACTTCTGTCTCTCAGGAGTACTGTCTATGAACTATATGTGTGCTGACTCTTGCTACTACCCTTCCTTACTTCATCATTCCATTCCTTTGACCACCCCTTCATTCTTTGTTCATTCTATAGTCTCTTACCCTTTGTCCATCCCTTCATTCTTTGTACCTTTATCTTTGACATTCCTTTCTTTCATTCTTCATAGCTTATCATTCTTAAGTAGCTCATACTCCCTGAGTGCTCTTGTGTAGTTTAGTATATATAGGTGTATGAGATCAGACTAGTCCTGTAGTCTTGATCTTGTCTACTCTAGGTAGTCCTGTACTCTTAGGCTCACTCTATATACTCTACTCTTGTCTTACTCTCTCTCTCCACCTGCTCTACAAGTTCTAACTATGTTCTAGTGCTTGTGTTCTGTATTTCTGTTGTGTAGAATAGTTGTAGCCTGGGTCCCCTTGCTGAGCCTTCAGGTCCCCTCTACACTGTTGCTAACATCAGATTAAGACTACCTATTACTACCCTACAACTCTCCTACATTTCAAGCATTAGTACTCACTGTTGTGTTGATCTCTTTTCTTTGTCCCAACCCTTTTACATTTTTAAATTTTAAACTTTCTAAACCCTTTTAAACTTTTGCCACCTTTCTTCTATTCATTACCCCTTTTAGTTTAGTACCAATTCCTTTGTAGTGTAAACATGAACCCTCCTACACTGACTGCCACCCCTACTGTCCCACCAGATCAGCAGTTACAAGTAGAGAACTATAACATCACCCTCCCTTTAAAACCAATTGTCCTGATTAGTAAACATTAGGCTCAGTTAGTAGCTCAGATATAGGTTGGAACAGTAGGGTTTGGAAATCTGTAAGGTGGAGTTAATGCAGAGCACCTAGATGAAGTTGATAGAAGTCTCAGATTGCCTTAGTAGTATGGGTGAGATTCTCAGCAGGTTCCTAAGTGTGTTCTTCAACTGAGTATCCCTTCTAGTAGATAAGGAACTTAAGCTTTCTACACACTAGCTTAGTATCTACTACATACTCTACTTTGTATTCTAGTTTGAAACTAATGAGTTCTGGTAGAGGTAGTAGGAGTCTTTGTTGTAAAGGAAAACCTAGATCATAGTACTAAGACAGTAGAACCTTGTTAAACACTGAGTGTATGTGCTTCTATGTTGCTGGAAGTTAGAGTTTGTAGGCAGAGACACTAACCTTCTTTTCAATAACAAAGGGTCTGAAGCACTTGTTGTCCAACTTCTTTATTAAGTGATTTGTAGTTAGGTTAGTAGCTTCTAGCATAACTTTGTCACCAGGCTAGTAATCCTTAGCTATAGACCTCTTCCAATCATAGTTCTACTTTATAACCTGTACTGTCTTTTCTAAAAGAGCTTATGTATTCTCTCTAGTCCTGTACATCTGTTCTACAAAGTCTGTTGTGGATTCAGAACTACTGTTCTAGTTTGAAACTGTCCCCTAGTACAAATGTCTCTCATGATTGAGGAAGAACAGGGACTGTCCTGTTGTAGAGTGTTGCTAGTTATTGTGTACAAATTCTGCTAGAGCTAACTATTCAGACTAATCCAATTGTTAATGATTGATAAACATTCAGAGGTAGAGCTCAATCTTCTGATTGACTTACTCAGTTTGACTATCAGTCTACAGGTGATAGGTAGTAGAAGGGTTCCCTTGAATTCTAAGAAGCACATACAAGTCCTGTATGAATTTCAACTTGAATTACAGTCTGTAATCATGAATGAGCTTCTAAGGGAGTCTGTACAACTAAAAAACATAATCCTGATAAATGTACACTATACCTTTAGAAGTGAGTTCTGTTTGGGTCAGAACTGTATAGACTTGCTTAAAGAATTAGTTGACAATCATACAGATAGTATTGTAACCCTAAGACTCAGGTAGCTTACTAATCAGGTCTACTAAGACTTCTTCCTAAGAGTGATCTAGGATTCAATATAGATGTAGGGGAGCTCAAACCCTTGTCTAGTAGGCCTTAGTCTATTAGTACATATTACAACTAGTCATGTACTTTAGGATTTCCCTCTACATTCTAGACCACTAGTAGTTCTGAGTAATGAGTTCCTGCATTTTGTGTTAGCCCAGATGTCCTACAGTCAGATTATTATAATAAGCTCAGACAATGTCCTTCTACAGTTTCTGATCCTTCAGAATGTACAGTTGGCCTTCTTAGTAAACCTGTCCATCCTTATTCTCCTCCTAATCCCTAGCCTACTTCTCTAACTGCTTTACTACAACCCAGTCCTGTATGTGTCTCAGAGCTTACTATATATAAGTGACAAAGTCACTAACTTACTCACAACATTCTAGTCATTCATAAATCACATTCTTACAGATCTGATTAACTTGAAGCATGTTAGTGTGTATCTAAACAACATTCTAATCTTTACCTAAACAGTTAAGTACTATTACTGACTAATCTAAACAGTTCTATAACAGCTCTAAGATAATAAACTGTTTCTCTAAAAAGTAAAGTACTCTTTTGTGTAGGAGTTAGTAGATTATCTAGACTTTGTAATTAGTAGAGGAGAGGTCTGTATGGATCTAGTAAAGGTAACTGTAGTTCAGAACTGGTTACAACCTTAGAACCTGAAACAGGTCTAAGTGTTCCTTAGGTTTGTAAACTACTACTAATACTTTATTTAAGACTTTAGTACTATTGTCTAGCCCCTTTACAATCTTACTAGCAAAGATGTTCCTTAGTAATAGGAGGATCAGTAGTAGTCTGTATTTGAGTCCCTAAAGTAGGCTATTACTAGCAAGCCTGTATTAACAGTTCTAACAGTTGTAGACAAGTTCTGAGTCAAAGCCAACTCTTCTGACTTTACAAATAGAGTAGTACTGTCCTAGTTCATTGACAGAAAGTAACATCCAATAGTGTTCCAATCAGAATCCCTCTCTGTAACAGAACAGAACTACCCTATTTATAATAAGGAACTCCTTACAATTGTCTGTTCCCTAGAGGAGTAGTATTAATATCTCCTTAGTACTGTACAGAAGTTTGAGATTTAGAGTAATTACCTTAATCTCTAGTACTTCCAAGTGCCTTAGAAGCTCAACTACTACTAAGCCTACTAGATGTTAGAACTGTAGAACTATAACTTTGTACTAACCTACAAACTCAGAATGTAAATAACAAAAGCTGATTTACTCTTAAGACAAGTAGGTCATGAAAGGGGGGAGAATGATAACAAAAATCTCATTCTCCTAGACAATTCCTGTTTTACATTCAAGACAATCTGAGAGATCTGACTCAAATCTGAGAATGTTGACTTTGTCACTTATATACAGTAAGCTCTAAGACACACACAGGACCAGGTCATAGTAAAGTAGCTAGAGAAGCAGGTTAGGGATTAGGAGGAGGATAAGGATAGACAGGTTTACTAGGAAGGCTGACTATATGTTCTAAAGGATTGGAAACTGTAGGAGGACATTGTCTGAGCTCATTACAACAATCTGACTGTAGGACATTCAGGCCAACACAAAATACAGGAACTTATTACTCAGAACTACTAGTAGTCTAGAATGTAGAGGGAAATCCTAAAGTATATAACTAGTTGTAATACATACTAACAGACTAAGACCTACTAGACAAGGGTTCAGACTCTCCTACATCTGTATTAAATTCTAGATCACTCTTAGGAAGAAGTCTTAGTAGACCTGATTAGTGAGCTACCCAAGTCTTAGAGTTATAACACTATCTGTATGATTGTCAACTGATTCTCTAAGCAAGTCTATACAGTTCCAACCTGAACAGAACTCACTTCTGAAGGTATAGTATACATTTATTAGGATCATGTCTTCTAGTTGTATAGACTCTCTTAAAAGCTTATTCATGATTGTAGACTGTAATTTGAGTTGAAATTCATACAGAACTTGTATGTGCTTCTCAGAATTCAAGGGAACCCTTCTACTACCTATTACTTGTAGACTAACAGTCAAACTGAGCAAGTTAATCAGGAGATCAAGCTCTACCTCTGAATGTTCATCAATCATTAGTAATTGGATTAGTCTGAATAGTTAGCTCTAGCAGAATTTGTGTACAATAACTAGTAACACTCTACAACAGGACAGTCCCTGTTCTTCCTCAATCATGAGAGACATTCATACTAGGAGACAGTTCTGAACCAGAACAGTAGTTCCAAACCTGTAACAGACTTTGTAGAACAAATGTACAGGACCAGAGAGGACACACAAGCTCTTTTAGAAAAGGTAGTATAAGTTATAAAGTAGAACTATGATTGGAAGAGGTCTACAGCCAAGGATTACCAGCCTAGTGACAAAGTTATACTAGAAGCTACTAACCTGACCATGAATTGCCTAATGAAGAAGTTGGACAACAAGTGCTTCAGACCCTTCATTATTAAAAAGAAGGTCAGCACCTCTGTCTACAAACTCTAACTTCTAGTAACATAGAAGTACATACACTTAGTATTCAACAAGGTTCTACTGTCTTAGTACTATGATCCAGGTTTTCCTTTACAACAAAGACCCCTACTACCTCTACTGGAACTCATCAGTTTCAAACCAGAATATGAAGTAGAGTACATAGTAGATACTAAGCTAGTGTACAGAAAGCTCAAGTTCCTTATTTACTAGAAGGAATACTTAGTTGAAGAATGTACTTGAGAACCTGCTGAGAATCTCACCTATACTGCTAAGACAATCTGAGACTTCTATCAACTTCATCTGAGTGCTCTGTGTCAACTCTGCCTCACAGATTTCTGAACCCTACTGTTCTGACCTATACCTGAGCTACTGACTAAGCCTAATGTTCACCAATCAGGATGATTGGTTTTAAAGGGGGGGTGATGTTACAGTTCTCTACTCTTGTACCTTCAGTTCTAAGGGTTCTACACCCTTCTGTACTAGAACTCAGGACTTCTGTCCCTCAGGAGTACTGTCTATGAACTATATGCATACTGACTCTTACTACTACCCTTCCTTACTTCATTATTCCATTCCTTTGACCACCCCTTCATTCTTTGTTCATTCTATAGTCTCTTACCCTTTGTCCATCCCTTTATTCTTTGTACCTTTATCTTTGACATTCCTTTCTTTCATTCTTTGTGGCTTATCATTCTTAAGTGGCTCATACTCCCTAAGTGCTCTTGTGTAGTTTAGTATATATAGGCATACAAGATTAGACTGGTCCTGTAGTCTTGATCTTGTCTACTCCAGGTAGTCCTGTACTCTTAGGCTCACTCTATATACTCTACTCTTGTCTCACTCTCTCTCTCTGCCTGCTCTGCAAGTTCCAACTGTATTCCAGTACTTACATTCTGTATTTCTGTTGTGTAGGATAGTTGTAGCCTGGGTCCCCTTGCTGAGCCTTTGGGTCCCCTCTATACTGTCACTAACATATAATAGAAATCAGTTCCCACAGTCAATGTAAACTGCTGTTTACATCTGTAAGACACAGTATAGTCTATTTGTATACTTAAAGGGTATACAATGCACTATACAAATGCACTATACAATATATGTAAGAGTAGTTCACATCTATTAGGCTCTGTACAGTCCATTTGTATGCCTTAAAGAAGTAGTATCTACAATATAAACGGTCCACAGTCTGGTCCAGGGTCCAGGCAGTCCAAAGCGGTCCGGAAATTTTTGTCAAACGCTGGACCGCGGACTGGACCCCTGTTGGACCCAACTGGACCGGACCTCAATCGGACCGGACAACGGCAACTATACATGTAGCCAATCATGGAATTTTAGCTTCACAAGCTTAACTGTGCAGCAGATTGTGCACTATCCCCTCTACTTGCTAAAAGGTTCATTACACCTTATTTTAGAAGTAGAAAGAAAGAAATCTCCCTATGTTAACGATGCTCCTGTTGATAAGGAATTTAGCGCGCCTCGCACGTGGCTAACGACGAGATGCCAAAAATCAAATGCCTCGGGCTACAATCTCATTCCGACAATGATATCAAAGAAGAAGAACGCAGTATTCAAAATACTTAGATAATAGAGTTATGAAGCTTGATTATTACAAGGACAACTTCACTTACAAATTGTACAATGTCCTTGACTCCTCCGAAAATGAAGCAAATGTGTATAATGCACGTGAGCTGTAGCGCTCACCGTGAAAATGGTCTTTTTATTTTTATTTTTGTTCATTCAAACCCCTTTCTCCCAAAGAACTTTACATCCGAGCAGCATTTGTCATTTTCTTCACACAAATGATACGCACTAACACGACTTCTCTCTGCATTCTTTTGCATTCTGCGGATACCTGTCAAGATTCCTTCCTTCCGTCCGTACTGACGGAGCATGTGCTACTCATCGCGCGCAACACAACCGACAAGTTGCATCATGATATGTCGCAACGAGCCATTAGCGACAATTGCGCTCCGATCTTTGTCGGTTACACACGACTTTCCCAAGTTCCAGAGATAGAATCCTTTCGATGAAGCTAGCGAAGATGATTATCGGTTTGCCAAGCCCTTCCTCCGCATGGCAAAGTAGTAGACGTGGCAGAGGCGTCAAAAATACTCGCATGCTCCTAGTCAGTCCTTATCGCAATTGCAGTAAAGATTTTCATTAATTAGACGAGCTTATAATTCCGATGCACAGAAGCACCCTTCAGTAAATGAGTCTTTGATATCTGTGACTACCTATATTGGTGCTCTGGTCGCTGAGGCATTACCTTTCGCCAACTATTGAATCTCTTAATGATTGTTTCTATGCTGGAACCCTTGCCGAACAATTTCTCAAATGCTCCCTCGGAGGAGAGATGCCAGCTCATTGCATGCTTCAGCTGCCCCGGAAGAAGAAGGATTTTCAGCATGGCATCGTGGCTTCTGTTCCTCTTTCTTCCTGTATCTTGTGGATCGCATCCTGGAATACGACTTGATCTCAGCGAATGTACTGCTTAGGGAATGAAAACTTCTCAACAAGTGATAATACTGCCGCACTGCCCGTCGTTGAGCTTGATAAAAGCTGACATGCTAGAGCTCTTGCTTAGAGTAGGGTCGCCCTTTCGTTTCCCCCTTGACTTCAGCGTTTGTATCTAGAAATGGTTGCTTTCTCTCGTCTCGTTCTTGGAGTAGCTGCTCTAGGTCCTGTTATAGCAGCACCTTGGCCTCTGACTGCTAAACATGCAACACACCAAGTGCGGACTATGCCTAACGGCCTGCAGGTCACATCATTTCACCCACTGTCCCAATTCGAAGTACGACATGTTTGTGCCCTTGTGACGACGTTATCTTATCATGCTCTGCAAACAGACTTTCGGTGCTGGTGTCGACCATCCCTTGTCCAAACGCGCCGAACCTGCCGATGTGGAGCAGAAATCCGTGTCATTCACTGCTTCGCGACTTGGCGTTAGCGAGGACGACATCGCTTTCAAGAAAAGTTTTACCGGTCAGACAGCTACTCATGCCTATCTGAAGCAGAAGATTGTATGCACCTTGGCATTTTATAGCGTACACAGGTGCTAATATGGCTATTACACAGAATGGCGTCGAAGTCGCCAACGCTGTTGCGAATGTCGCCCTGAACTCTGACGATAAGGTCGTCACCTTTGGTGCGAATTTTGTTAAACCCCGTAAGTTGTATTTTCCGCGTCAAATATATATTATAGTCATCGCTAACTACGGTATGGCAACAGAAAGCGTATCATCGACCATACCGAAGATCTCTTCGGATGAGGCCATCTCAGCCGCAGAGAAGCAGTTAGGAGCCACACACAACGGCTTCCCGACTGGCCTGGAATTCTTCGCCAAGGACGACGGAAGTGTTGTTCTCACCCACGTCGTCCAAGTGGAGAATGTCCATTGGCTAGAAACATTCGTCGATGCGCAGTCTGGAGAAGTCGTCGGAGTCAATGACTTCACTGCTGACTCTGCCGTGAGTCTCGGGCTTCACTTGACAAACGCCCTACTGACATGTCTGTTTTTAATGGAACTATATTAATAGTTCCTTGTAGTTCCGATTCATGAACAGGATCCGAGGCAAGGCATGGAAGTTCAGACAAATCCCGAGGATACTGCTGCTTCTCCCGATGGATGGAACACTGGTTCTACAGGCACCTCGTGGGTCGATATTTTTGTTCGAAGTCGAAGCACAGATTGATGTTCGTCTGTACCCCAGGGGAAACAATGTTATTTGTTAGTACATTGGAGTTGAGTTGTCCGAGCACTCGCTGATCTGTGGGTAGCTTTCAAGGGCTCTCAATCTGATATAACACAAGAATCGTCGTCGGGACTCGTGTTCAACTTTCCAGATGATGATACCCTTGCGCCAACCGCCGGTACTAACCTGGACTCAGCCCGTACAAATGCCTTCTACGGTAGGCGCTCCATAGAATGCCTCAGGTGTATGGTCTAACCAAGAACAACTTACGCCATTGTAGTCTCTAATAATGTTCATGTGAGTTTTGTCAATCCTTTGTCAGAAAAGAAGTATGGGTGTAAATGTTGGGTTTCTTAGGATATTACTTACCGCTATGGTCAGCGCAGCATACCGCCATCTTCCGCGTAATGGCCTAATGTCATTGGCCCATAGGTTTCACGGAGTCCGCATTCAACTTCCAGAATGACAACTTTGGCAAGGGTGGAGCGGGAAATGACCGCGTTACAATCTCTGTCCAGGATTCTGCAGGTACGTCCTGAGATACAACATACGATATAAGTATACTAACTTACGGCGTCCCCGTGTTGAATAGGCACGAACAATGCCGATTTTTCCGTAAGTCTTGAACGTCTTCGCTATAGTATCTCTATCATTGACGTTGATTCTGTAGACACCTCCTGAGTGAGTAGAGATCCCTACCTCTACCCCTGCTCATATTAATATCACGTCAGTGGCCAGTCGGGACGCATGCGGTAAGCTTGCTATAAGTTGTATGTGGTATCGACAGCGTCTGATAGTAGGAACAGGATGTTCCTCTGGACCTTTGTAAGTCCCGTGCCGTAAATCAATGCAGGATAGTAAATAACTCACTTCGCGCCATCATCTGATCAGACTTCTGTAAGACAGAGACTAACTTTTTATGATTCTGTTTAAACTAATGAGAACATGGCCTAGCCCATGCGTGATGGAGCCCTCGAGAACGATATTGTCTCACACGAGAATACGCACGGAACCTCGAACCGACTCACCGGTGGTGGAACAGGACGGTATGTATCTTCCACTCCTTCACCTATCTTGCTTTCCGGCTCGATTGATGTTTGAAATGTGACAGATGTCTGCAAGCTAGGGAAGCTGGTGGGATGGGCGAGGGCTGGTCTGATGCCTTCGCTGAATGGACCGAGCAGACGGCTGAAGTGGGAGACTTTACGCTCGGAAGGTAGTTATATAGTCATTATCTTGACTGTCCGGGTACTCGTTCTAATTTCGGACATCTGCCTTTGCGCCTGAAGCTATGTGACGAATGACCCAGCTGGTAAGCACGACCTAATCTTAATCCAGAAGGCGTGCTTAATCTCCGTCTATTCGACAGGCATCCGCTCTGTTCCTTACAGCACTGACAAGTTGGTTTTCACCATCAACTCTCGAGTACATCGAGCTTCTAATGACTAATTGTACTAGATCAGTCGATCCGTTGATGTACTCTGACCTGCAGACTCGTACCGAAGTTCATGGTTCGTGTATCTAAGCTTACAGACTGCTGCCATAGATACTGACCAATCGTTTCCACGACTTGCAGACATTGGCGAAGTCTGGGCAACGATGCTGCACGACGTTTTAGCTGCTTTGGTTGGCGTACAGTATGTACTCACTAATGAAAAGCTCCTTGGAGCAAGATGCTAAATATTCACTTCAGCGGCTTCTCAACTACCGCTGATACCAACCCCGAGTAAGCCTTCTTTCCACCTGAGGAAATCCTATAATTCACTATTTTTTTAAATTCTTAGTGGCACCGAAGGGAACATCGTTTATATGTGGGTGCCTTTCCCAAGTTCTTGCTCGATGCCAATAAAATTAACGCACGCTGCGATTCACCTCTAGGCACTTGTTCATTGACCAACTCGCCCTGCAACCGTGCAATCCAACGTTCCTCCAAGCCCGTGACGCATGGATCCAAGCTGATGTGAACAGGTACAACGGCGCAAATCAGTGTTTATTGTGGAACGTAAGTTCACCGAAACTTAACGGTCTCAAAGTGCCTCCGACATTACTAATCATGTGCGTAATTTGATGATCAACGCAGGCTTTTGCTGGCCGCGGACTCGGTGTGAATGCTGCTAATCACCAGAATGATGCTACGGTACCCGATGGGTGCTAATTGGATGTAGCATCCCTTCGCCACAGGATCACGCCGACGCTCTAATATAATAGATACACTGGCTCTTTCGAAGATCAGCTGTTAACATATACCGAAAAAGAAATACACCTCATTACTCACTCAGTCAGCGGAGCGATCCACAAGCATCAAGTCAAATCTGGTGTGGAATAGCACGATTGATTTGCGAACAACGTTTCACTTCCCAAGCAAGCTTAGTTTGACTTGGTCTTGAACAACCTCACCGCGATATCAGGTATCGTTTTGAGCGGAGGTTTTTAACAAACAACAAGATGTCTTATTGATGAGTGAAGGAATAGATCACACGACGACCGGCAGCTGGCGTATTTCCTAATCTCACAAACCCTTCTCACCTTTCGCTTTCGAGTTAGAAGTTGCGTGAAGTCCTATCTCTGAGATGAAGGCATTAATATTGATCCAGCTAAGTACGTTGTGATATCTGAGATTGGGGGGTCTGATCTGTGCCAAGAGCATAGTGTCGATCATGTAACTCTGAAACTCACGTTTTTGGCAGGCGACAACATTATCGGTAACTCTACAACACCGAACAACTATGATAATACGGCGATACACGGATTTTCTAAGTTCTGGACTATCCCTGAACTTGTGTAGAACGGGGAAAATATGCACAGCTACGAACAGAATTCTCTAGACGGCTATATGCTTGTTCCTCAGACAAAAGCACACCAGGCCCATCATTTCTATACCGCGCTGGAACTCTATATACCAGGGCCTAATACATCTCCGTCATCTCAGATGCGGGATAGCGTATTTAAGGACATGCTCTCTACGAGAATGAGCGAACCTTGTTGCCCAGAACACCTATAATTCAGATTCACGATGGTTGTGTTCATCCGATCTGACGTAGAAACGATTGACCCCGAAGACGTCTTTTTTCTCTTCCTAGACATTCAAACTACACAGTTCATCCAAGTTGCAACCCTCACTGTACTAGTGTATGATATACGTAAGTCTTCCCTCATACTCGAAAGAAGACGCACGCTGATTCAGGCGCTGTTCAAGTTCTCACAGTGGATAAAGAAGTAAGCAATGCTCCTTGCTTGGAACGTGATGTTCTTGAGTTCACAACTTCACATACTTATTCTTTAGATCAAGTACTTTTGGGTAAGTGCTAAAATTAGTTAGCCCATTAACCTTCCACCCTCACATTCTAACAGAAGTCGCCGATGAGGACAGTAAATGCTGTTTTCTTTGCGGTATGTGAACAGTCTTAGCCACGGTAGAGTCTCAATTTACGTCTGTATTTCCATCAAGAACCGCTATATTGGGCTTTTTGGAGCTATTGGATTTCTATTCTGCGAGTTGCTTCCTTGTTATCTTATTGAATAATCCATCTAACGGATAAAAAATCAGGGAATTCTCTAAGTGTCAACCTGCCAATGTATGTGCAATGTCATTTAATTGCTTTACATATGCTAATAGCTGTCTCTTTTCTAGATGTGAGCTGATTCAACTAAACTAAACAAGAAAAACCTTCTAATGATTCCAATGTTCATTAGGCAACTTTGCTGCTTGGTCTCACAATGTCGCGAGTAAGCGGCCATTGTATGCTATTGTCTCACTTATGTCCTTAATGTCGAATCCAGACTGGTTTATTGTAATTTTGATAGATTGTATGCAACATTCGTACGGATAGTCGGCATCGTCATTAACACTCGTATATCCAGATATTCTCGTGATTCGAATACTTGCTCTTTACTCTCGAGGTGAGGACATGGACGATCGAAGTTTCGATATTAACGTTGACATTTCTCAGACCGAAGACTCGCGACTTTCCTCAAAGCCTTACTAGCGGTGGAAGCTGCCTCTAAATTGACACTCATGATTTATAACACCTATACTCAGAGAAGTACGAGAACTATCAAATTGTTATTATGCCATAACCTAAATGCGAACTAGTTACGATTGGAGCAATCGGCGATGGAAGAATATTTTGCACTTGCCACCAAGGTACGCCGTACGTATGGGGAATTTTAAATTGGTGAGTGTCTTGACTTTGGATGAGTCTCCTATCCTTACACCTGTATGCAGGATCATTCCGCTGTCGTTTGGATCTCTCTTGATGATTCTAGCGGTATACAAAGCCGCTGAGTTCTGGAAAATGTCCGCAGGCCTCACGGGCTTTTCTTTGGTAAAAGTCCTCATCCAGGACCAGCTCATATATTACGCTTTGTGAGTCTGTAAGCGCTACACGACAGGATGAATCAATAACGGAATTGCTAGAGTGATCTCCTGCTGCGTATTCGACATACTTCAGTTCTCCGATTTTGCTGAGTCCTGGACAGCGGACCTCTTCGCGGCGCTCGGTAGTCCGATATTCCTTTGCATCCTAGGCAGCCGTTTACTGTTCAATTTGAAGGAGGCAGGAGAACGTGGTCTTAACGAGGGAACCAGCTACCGGCCAAAAGATGTTAGTGAGATGGAGTTTTGTGCAGTTTAAAGAGTAATGGTTGGTCCCGCTCCTTGCGAACAAGAAGGCGTTGCGCAACTGACACGCCGTTCCGCTAAGTGTCTCGACGTTTGAAGTGAAATCCGGCTGCCTCACTAGTTTTACTTTCCCCTTCAGAAATTCTCCAATTTTATAACGGTACAGTGTTGAAAATGTACATGAGATGCAATATATAGAATGCAGTTTACGCGAATGATTTCTTAACGCTGCAAACAATGGAGAGCCTGTATATGATTTCCAGATTAACATCATTGAAGGAAAACGTACAATTTCTAGATGCAGCGCGGACAGTATACTATTTCCATCCACAAGAGCATTAAAACACACAGTCTGCGGTAAATATACCTCGAAAAAACGGCGATAGTCCTTTAGTCGGCATTGATCCACGATGATTCTGTCCCTCCAAGTGAGGAGTTTGGGGGACCGGAGACTACATCCGAACTTGCTAGCGACACAACTCCTAATGAAGACTGGAACTTAGCTGGGGCTGAGATTTCACTCCACGTAGAACTATTTGCACCAATGTGATCTGCTTCGGAGAAAGCGAAGGGTGTATCAATCATAGGAGGCTGAATCTTCGTCGCACTCTCTTCTAGCTCTGGATAGCGAGATCGTATTTTTACGCGTAGTTCAAGCAGGAGCTCTTCTCCATGCAAGAGGCGAGAATCATCAAACTGTACGACAGGCGTACTGGGATGGCATGAAGCAGATGCTTCAGATTGGACAGGCTCAAAGCACGGTGCAATCCGTGCGGCGTTCCGGAGTTTGGATCGTTCGGGTTTATCGGATCCAATTGGTACGACGCATATCTCTGGAAACGTGAAAACATATTCTGCGATGGCATCTTTTGTGACTGCATCCGCCGCCGGTGGAGAAATAAGTCGGACTTCCGCTTGTATCCTACTTTCGATGCTCGTGGTGGCTTTCGTGCAGGAAGACAATTCGGAACCGGGAGCAGACTTAACGGTTTCGTCCCTGTCGTGAACCATCAACTCGAGTTCATCCCTTCCAATCGCTAAGGTCCAAGCTCGATGCGCAGCAAGGAAGTCCACGAGTAATAAGCGTGGTGATGCGGAAAGATTGCCAATTCTGATAATCGATTGCGATGTAGAATTAGATGTGGCATGTTCGTGTAAGTGGTCCGGATCTAGAGTGTATTTTCCCATCGTACCATTCCGAAACATTTTCGCAAAGTCATTAACAGAGACGAGGGCCGTAAAGTTCACGTTATCGTCTTCACCTGCATACCACGACCGTTTCTGGGAACGAATAGAACTTTCCCCCTTGGTAGCGACGTCAAGAGTGTTCGCATCGTAAGCCACCGATACACTATAATCTTCGGCACCGATAGACGTAGGGCGTTGGAGATTTAAGTATTGACTATTCTCCTCGTCAATTCCCCGAGACCAGATTAACTGAGTTAAACGCTGCAAAAGAGTGTTCGCGCTATCTTCTTCCTGCCTAGCAGACTGAGAAGTGACCGAAGTCAGCCTCCGCACACACGTTCTTCGCACAATATCGACGAATTCGCAACGTGGATCCGGTCTCTCTCCTTCAGACGTGTCCCGTAGCTCGTGAGATTGGTTAGCAGTTCCATGGGCTCTATGAGGCTTCCAGTGCTCAATCAAAGACCACAGCATCTCCATCCCGGACGCGTGTGATCCAGCCTCGGTCATCCCTGTCCAAATCGGGTCCCAGTGCATGATTTCGTATTCCAATGGGGTCAGATCATCCAAAGAGTTGAAAGGTTGGCTCATGATATGATCCAGTTCACTTCCATGAATACGGTATTGGTTGATAAGAGAGGTACGGGTATCATGCAGGATAGTAGAACGCTCTACAGGAGAATATGATGGAGATAGAAGAATAGATGATAACACTGATTTCAATGAAAGAGTCACATCTGCTAGGGAAGCAACATCTCGTTGACCAGCCTCCTCCATAAGATTCTCCAGATCAAAGGAGCTCACAATCGAAGCAGAATGATTAACAAACGAAGGGTCGCGAGGGTCTGATTGAAGTTCTGGAAGGATTCCATGGTCTTTGTTATGGCTGGATTGGAGGCCATAGATTCTACAGACAACGCATTTTGGGTGCGGTGGTGACTCTGAGCCTCTTCCAGGAGAGCGGATTGGAGGCATTGCATCCGCCGTGGGAGGAACGAGGTCTACATCAGAGTGGATTTATATGAAGGTCATACATAGCCCCAGGCCAGAGCAACTAAGTCATCTTCACACTGATAATACCCCGCCGTGATCGTGGGTACAAATTACCGAAATAGACAGTCCGTAATTAAATTTCCATCCATTGAACACAGTAGAACGCTTTCGGACATGGATTATGCTGAATATATGCTGCGTGTCTTTGTTTTAATTTATTTACAAATTTTTATGCCATGAATCTTATAATAACAGAAGTCCCAGGAAAAGATGATCACCTTATTTACCCGTCAAGAAAAATTTATTTCGCTCAAAGTCTCAACCCTGTAGCTTGTTCCCGCATTCGCACCCTTTTCTCCTGCTTCTTTCAAATGAACAAGGAGACGAGCTCCGAGCACAACGAGCAAGCTCGGACTTCCAATAATACCGAGGATTACTTTTGAAACGACCTGAGGGTTGGTCGTTGTATCGGAAATTATCATCCCGACATTACAGAATATAGCTCTAGGGTGAATTTGTCAATATTGCAGAAACCCTGAAACTATCAAGGTCAACTTACAGTGCAAAGTATATGGCCTGATCAACAATCAGTATTTTGACTAGTTGGTATCCTTTAAAGCCATGGGACATGCTCCAGAAATCTGCTGCCTTGTATATTGCAAGGATCATGAGGAATAGCTCGAAGAATAGTGGAATTCCCCTATACATAGTTTCAGAATCACAGCATTTTACTTCGTATAATTATAACTGACCAAGCAAAGACAAAGAATATGGGCTGTGCAGATTTGATTGATTGACATACAGTGAAATTTGTCCCAAATACCCCCAAAGCAGCTTTTGAATGATTTAGGCAGTAAGTAGCAGAACTGGTGCCTAGTACAAATTGACATGCACTTACTTCCGTTGAATATCTGCACGTAAGAGAGAATGGCGAACATTGCAGCTGCCTCAATGCCGAAAAGAGTTCGAAGTAGAATAGTCGCTTTCTTGTCTGAGAGAAATCATAGTTCACTCACTTTAGTGAGTAACCCTAAAGCGAAAGAATGGTATCTACCTTGTGCGAATAGAGCCAGGACTCTCATTAACAGTATGTCTATGGTAGATGTTTACTTAAAGCAAGACTGTATAGATTTTGTACTTACAATCTATCATATTTATTGTAATCCAGTCTAATACAGTACAAGTCAGCAGGTTATAGTCAATGTATCGGGGTGTACGTACTTGATGCAACAGCAGTTAATAGAGTGAACGAGCCTGGTATTGGGTGAAGCTTTGTTAGTTGGAACGCTCAGCTCACGGGATTACTGAACCGCTGACATCTATAAATTTAATTAATTAATATCTGCTATTAATCAAAATATAATGCGTACTTACAGTCTCCTCGTTACGTGATACGTGTTGTCTACCAATAAGTTTAGCAATGACACATTTGGCTATGATCAATATAGCCAGCTTACACCAGAGATAGGCAATGGCCGAGAATATACCAATGTAGCGATTCTATCAGAAAGATCAGTAAAGCATGATTCGGGAAGGATATCATGAAGCATTGTACATACAGCAAAGTAAATTATACTGACAAACTTCCTCGGAGCACTCTACAATTGCCATACTTAGTGTATTGTGCGAAGGTTTGTCTGAAGAGAGTGAGTTACCCAGAAGAATTTGATCTAAGAACATAATGTATAATGAGAATTGTTAAATATCGCATATATGCACTCACTTCTTTGTCTAAAGTAGTGACTAAAGAAAGTTTAGGTTATGAATCGAGTGCACGTCCAAAGCATAATGATACAATCGAACCACTAACTTGTGTCGTATAGGAGAACAGTCACAATGGCAAGTTGGAAATACTCTGCAAAACGAAGTTCGGAGTAGATGGTGGGAACTACGCCCGAATCTATGGGGTTGATTACAGTAGACCGAGTAGAAAGCATTGTGGGTTGGGATGTAGAAGTCGATTGCTCGTAGAGTGAGAGAGATATACCTGCAGGGATGCCGGTATCATATTGGATACCCAAGTTCCGAATTGAGGATGCAGTGTAGTGTATCACCGCATCATTTGCCGTGACCGAGGCACGTACCTGAAGAAGCCAAGATCTCTGAGGAACTTACACATCGGGACAGCTTAAACCCGGCACACGTCAATGATACAGGCTTCCTTCAATATAAATATAATTCTTGAGAGAGTAAAATCACTCTCACCTCAAACCGCCACGCCGAAGTTTATCTCCTAATGATGCACCTTTGTCGAAGAAAAGACGCCACAAATTGTTCCGTTGGATCGCAGTTAGTAGTTACTGTCCTTGCGGGCATGGCCAATATAAGTGTCAGGATGTACCTATGCTAGTCCCCTGCTACATATTTTCTTAAGCAGCCCTTGTTGCAGGCAGAGACCATTGCCACCTGAGTCAATGGGTTTGTTGATGAGCTCGGTTATTGCATGAATTCCTATCTGTCAAGGCAATCTAAATTTACACTTGAAACGCCCGCAGTTGATCATCAAGGTACAGCTATGGAATGTACACTCGAGTAGTTAACAATTGTTCCGCCCGCATCACAAGTTGTGTTTGATACAGATGAAGGAGGAAAGTAGCCATGCTTCGTTTGAGCCGAAGATAAGAACAGATTATTTATAGCGTGTAATATCAATCATAAGTGTCCGGACAAACCTCGCACATTTTCCAAACGTTTGGATAGTGGCTGGGAAGCTAAGACCACTCGTCCGTGTCCCAGTCGGTAGACGCATTCTCGCTGTCGTTCACATACACCATACGTTCCTCGTCCTCGCTCTCTGGATCCACGTCTGGGTCGTATTCCTGGCCGTTTATTTCGTACCATCTCGGCTTCGTTCCCTTCGACAGCCCTATAGCCTCTCGTACGGTGTCTATGTGAGCTTGTGGATATTCGCTTTCATCCACTTTCCGCATTCGCACGTCATGGACAAAGCCAACGATCATGGCAGGTTGACCGCGGTATTTCGCTGGACGCATGAAGAAAAAGATCTTCGTCTTCGATAGGACCTGGTCCATTATCTTGAAGAGTATGATCCCGGCGTTCCTATTCCAGTCGAGATTTCTCCTCTCCGCAAAAAGCCGCATATGTTTATTCTTGAGCCAATATCCGTATACCCAGCGGCACATAAAGATGCTATCCGGTTTTTCGTGCGGATCTGTGGGCCTGAATTGACTATTAGTATATCGCTAAGCCGAAAGGATAAAGGGATAAGTACTTTGACAGCGTAGTAGTAGGTTTAGTAAACACTCTGGTCCTCGTAACGGACGACATTTCTATTGGGGCAATGGAACACGATGCGGAAGATGGCTGCGCGGAGGAAGTGAAGTTCAAGTGAACAATCAATCCTCTTTATGTTCCATTTTGGGAGTGGCTTTGAGCAGTGGCCAGTTTCTTCATTCCTAATTGTGTGCCGAAACTTCTTTATATGGGAATGATACCGTCTCGTGGCTAGTTGGCCAGTCCTAGATCGACGCGCTTTTTCCCAATGGAAATGCCTCGCGATCGATGCGATGGATAGCATACATTTGATTTGGACTCGTTCATATTAGGTAAGAGTCGTGAGACAGTTTAAGCAGACTGAGAATGTCCGCTCTGTTTTGAGGCCAGCACTACATGGTGAGCTGATGGACGAGAAACGAAAGTTAGAATCATACAAAGTTTGGGTGCACATGGGGCATTTCACAATTCCTTACCTTAAAAA